GAATAAAATGTGACAAAAATAAAATAATAGATAGACCCAATATCTATAAAGAAAGTTGTATTGGTCGTGACAAGGATTCCAGCGATATAAAGAACGTTAAAATCCGACTTATAACGAAAAAGTTATGACTTGTCGAAGTTTCGCGACAAAACCAGCACGACGCTGTGTGGCGTGAAAAGTGAGTTTACGATAAACTACTTTTTAGCCTTAGCGATCTAAACGAAAGTCGTAGTATACGTTAAGCCGAGAGCGTGCATCAAAATAACTTCCAAATCTGACTTCGTATGAGGGAGTTATGATTTTTCTAAGATGTAGCATAGCAGTGCACAACCTAGAATTCGAATTTTAGATCGACCGAAGACACACAAAAATGGACGTCGGATGACAAAGTTATGAATTTTTAACAGACTTTACCTGTCTAAGCCTGTTAAAATATAACATTAAAAATAAAGTCAAAATTAGTCGACGGAGTCTAAAAGAAAGTTGTAGATTACGCCGCCACCTATGCGTAGATATAAAGAACGTCGAAAACGGATCTCGTATGCGAAAGTTACGGAATTTAGAAGTCGGAAATAGGCTGATGCGAGGAGGGTGGCATGGCTTAATCTGGACCATTGCTTGCTCCCCATGGCCTCGCTTCAGATGATTGATAGCAGCCCCTCATACGCGCAGCGTACTGAGTACGTGCAACGTACTCCGAGGAGTACGCCCAACGTAGTCCGAGGAGTCTGCCTATGAATAAGATGCAAGGTTCTTCACATTTCTTCACACCTAAGCCTTCATTTTTCTCTCAAACATCTCTCTAAACCCCTCCCAACCCCTAGTACTTACCAAGTGCTCAGAGGCGAGTCCTGGAGCGCCAGAAGGCTCTGAGAAGAACAGCTTTCGGCTCAGAAGTTCTGCCCCGGCAGAGCCCAATTCCTAGTTAACTCCATTGTAAGTGAGTTATGCTTACCATTCTTTAAGTATAGCTTATGTTTAAGTTCAATATCGTTATTATGAACCTATAAACAATATATGTATTATAAAATATAATATACAAAGTGTTATTATAATATCTTTTAACTACTCACGGTATGAGGAATCCGATTTGAAGGGCTGCTTGGGTTCTTGGATTTCAAAAGTGGTTAAATGCCAAAATGGTCATGCCCTCTGGTGTTTCATGTCTAGCCCCTGTCTGTACATAGTGGTTGAAAAGTATTGTTTAACACTTATAGAACAATATCACTCGTAAATAGTCACAATAAATATTAGACTAAAATCTAGCGGTAATGATACTAGGTTTCACCGAAGGAAAATAGAATTGTTAGAAGCGAAGCGCTGCCCGAATTTGAAATCATCATTTTAACAAGTGAGTGCATAGTTACTTTCATCTTACACATAGATATGAAGTATTTAATATAAGTCACATGCTATGTGTCCATATTATCTGTGTTCCTGATATCTATGCTAGATGAACAAAATATACATATTTTATTCGATTTAAACTCTATACGTATTTTATACCTATAATTATGATGGGTAAAGATGCGTAGATTAAAGATTAGATGAGATGAGAGATGAAAGATGAGATGAAAGATGATATAGATGATGAAAGGTGAAAGATGATAAGAAGGATTGACCCAAGCGATGACCCAGTCATCTAGTAGGCTCGCAACCTGCCGGTGTTGTGAACGATATGTTCATCAGATGTACTCTAAAAACCCATTGACATGTATTGTGGGTGGACTCCCTAAAATAATATTGTCAATAAAAGAGATAAACCCTGGCAACTATGGACTTAGTGCCTAATAAATAACATCGGAAACTATGGACTTAGTGCCTGTTATATAAAACCCTAGCAGCGATGGACTTCGTGCTTGTTACTTAGGTCAATCCTTAAGAATAAATATTGAGGAATAGATTATTCTTAGGGAAGATACTTAAGAATAAAGAAGATAAGGGGGATGGGTAATTGGGTTAATTGTTTGATGATGAAACATAATAACATTATTATTGTGGGTTGAAAACCCTATCTACTTAGGTTTCCCAATCTGATCCACTTAGTTTATTTGTATCACAGATATCGATACGAAGCTACATTACACTGAGAGATTAAAGGAGATGTAAATCACTAGTGTAAATGAATGTAATGTCATACCCCCAAACCAGAATGGCGGAAACGTTCGGGGGCGGAGGACGTCATGTACAGTATCATAACCAATGTGCAATAGTAAACAAGCAACAACATCATCCATTGCATTAATAATATAATTTAATACAAGTGTGTTCTGTGTATAGTTTGAAAGACACCAAAATATGAATCAAAATAAAAGACGAGTCTCGAATGTGCTCCGTCTTCTCAAAAACTGGTCTAGTGTACCTGTTTACTTGTGACCTGAGAATACAAGTTATTTTGAAAAAGTAGATCAACATTTAAGCTGGTGTGTTCATAAGTATTTGAGTGTCAAATGTTTGTATAAGTTTGATGAAAGTGGTTGTAAATGTTTGATGTAAATGTTTGTAAGTGTTTGATGTAAATGTTTGTTTCTCCTAGAAAATCCTATATTTTCTACTTATAAAGAAATGTAGTCTTCTACCAAGAACCGACTGTTTTGTATGTTTGTTCTTTTGTAAAAGTGAGTGTTTTTCCCAAGTATGACTATCATTACCAAAAAATAGTTTACATTACCGTTTATGTGAGAAGATCACAATATGAATGTAATGGGAAAATGACGATGTACAGTAGTATTGTATATAGTAACTACAGATGTACTAACTAACTTAAACCAATTTTTTAATTAAGGTAAAATGTGATGAGATTATAACCATACTTGATTGACTAGTAAACACGACGATTAAAGACATCGAAATGGTATGACATTCGTCACCCGTAGACCTGCAGGTCCCACTGTAGCTAGCAGCAAGGTGTAGGATGGTCAATCCTGTATAGATCTATACACAAATTCACGCTCTCCCTCTAGGAGAGTCTGGTTACAAAACGGGACACAACAGTATATTGCCATGCCAAGAAGTAGTGGCTCACATTAATGTTATATTGTTCTTGAATTTGTATAGTATGTTCTCTCTGTTCTAGTGTATAATATGTTCTTTCTGTTTCTCGTTATACTATGTTTGAACTGACTCATGTATGAACTGACTCTTGTATGCTTCATTTTTCTAGAAATAGTGAGTAGTCAACCTCTAAACTATACCTATTATAGTTTACTAGTACTGTTGGTTGAATGACTGATCATGTTTGAACACCTTTGCTACCCAAAGGTACTGAACTGATTGGAAGAACTTTTTATATCTACATACATATACATAATATATAACTAAGATTCAAACGACACTCAGACAAACAAACGATACCCTAAGTCCACAACCAAACTAGGAACAGGAAATAAAGAGAGTCATCAGTCCTAAGCCCTTTCAACCTTATTTATATAACTATATCTATATAGACATGATTTTGACAATATATAAGTTTAAAAGATTTTGATAAAGAGTTTAGCATATAAAAGAGTTTTAACCATTTGAATGGTTATTGATGACTTGATGTCAGTTTATGTGATATCCCGAAATTTTGGTCAAAGATTGTGAACTGTCAAGTTCACAGTAAGTCTCTTTGTAGTTTGAATCATTGAGTTTTGGTGAATCTAATACAAAATAAATGAGTTATTTCAACTATTATAAGATACCAGATGATATTATACTTCCAAATGTGTAAATTGATAAACCAATCAAACGGCTCAAACTGCAATCATAGGAATGCATCTGAAAAACTGAAAATTTGTGTTAAGCAGTTGTGAGCAATACAAACATTCTAGTCTCGTAGTACACGTTTCCTTGATTCCGAAAATATAAAGAACGTCCAAAACGGAGTTCGTATGCAAATGATACGACCGTTTTAAGAATCCAAATTCAGTATAATATTGATTTCTTAAAAACCACTAAAATCGTTTCTATCCATTGAGGAACTTGCACACCTGAAATAGAGATTCTGAAAGCATTTTTGGACTCAGGCTATAGCCTATATTTAAATTCATATTTGAAATATTTTTGATAAAAGAATATATATTTATAAAAGTCAAAAAAATCATACGTTGTGAACCAGATTCGTGGAAATCTCACATTCGTGGAACATCATAGAATCACGCCGAAATCAGCATCAAACCTCAATTTATAAATTTTAACATTTTCTTGTTTTGTTATTGGAAATTCATTTTCGATATAAATTACACAAAATACATAAGGAAATTTATTATTTATCAATATACACACACATACAATTAAAAGGTATATTAAATCTATTAAAAATATATCCATACCAATCAATAAATTCATACATAAATATATATTTATTTAAAGCAAATACACATACATTAAATACATTATATAAAATATTAAAAATCAAACTTATACTTTTTACAATTAAAATGACAGCACATTTGTGGTTCCTTCTAAATTATATTTTGTACAAATAAACACTCTAAGGGGAAATACATTCTTGCACTTCACGATACTTTCTCCCCACGTTTTATTTTTGCCTGCATACAGCTCACACACAACTATGAGGAAAACACTGTCTGGTATTACTTCTACTCTTCAACTACTGATCTACAAACAATCAAACAACCATTAAACTTTTGATCATAAAAATTGATCAGATTCAAAGAAAAATTTAAGGACTCTTCCTGTTTCCCTTCTTTTTCAATCCCCGTTTTCATCTCCTGTTGAACATCAAACCCAACACACATCCATGTTCTTCCTTTCTGCATTCGTTCCCAGCCAAGAACACAAGAACATTCTTGTTCTTGATTTCATGTATACCTGCAAATGAGAAATTCAACCACTAATTGATATGGCTTCATCTGCTTTCCATGGCAATTCCAAGCAACAAACACACATCCTAAATATCCCATCGAGTGAATCAAGAGGATTACCTGTTGATGATCGATGGCCATAAGTAAACCATTGAACCATTTCTGCTCCTTGTTTACTTTCAAACGAAGCAGTCAAACATTTTGCTGTTGCTGATTCCTCTTCAATCGAGACTTTTCCTCTTTCCCGTCGACCTTCACCACCGAATCCCCACCAGCTTGCAATGTCCAGACCTCACACCTCACAGCCGGAAGAGACGAAGAAGACTTCGCTGCTTCTTCACGCCTTCCATCTCTTCGGACCCCATCGACCCTCATTGCTGCCCTACCCCCATCCCGTTCTTTCTTCTTCTCGTCAAGACCCGGAGACACCTCTCTCATCACCGATCGAACCTTCTCCCTCGCACCTAGCAGCCGACCAAGAAGCAGCGGACGTCCGACCCTCCTCCGTCTGCTGCTGTCGCAGAGCCACCCTCCGCCGCTATCTCCGCTTGTTGTCATTGCTATGGAACCCCGACCAGCCACCACTTGATGATATTGTGAGTATTCGATCGACCACCACCATCATGTAATTTCTATTAATTGGATGTCCATTCGACTGCTCCAGTCGGAATCGTGAGACCTAGGTCGTGGTCTCGTCCCCAAATTGTTTGAACTGCAAAAGAAATTGCGACTGGTTTAGAAGAGGGAACTGTTCAAACTTCGATTCCATTTATTTAAATCTGACCTTGAAGATGTTGAGTTCACGAGAATGACCCCTCCTTTGGATTAATTCAATTATTAAGTCCAAACTCCCTTTGGATTTATCCATAAATAGTCCCTCCACTAAGAAACCATAACCCACCTAGTCCTGGAACCCCAAGTCAGCTTTAAAATGTACATTATCAACCCCTGTCTTGAGAATAATTCTCAATATCAGTCCCTAAAGTATGATTTTGACAAAATCAAACCCTAGAGTTTATTTATTCAAAGAAAGACCACCATATACTTAATAATTAATACCAAAACTACCATTTGGTTTATTAGGAAACATAAATATACTCGGTGGTTCGTTTTAAGAACGAGAAATGTCACGTGACAAATCTCACGACAAGTTTCCCAAAGAAAATCCGAATACCGTACGAATCAAACTCACGCTTCAAGGGTGAGTGCTTACGGTCCCTTTTCAATATTTTAATTATTTCGGGGGGGGGGGGGGGGGGGGAATACATGTGCCTATATGTTTTGTTTATACAAATATATTATCTTTTATACGAAAATACAATAAACATAGTTTATAAAAATATTATTATTTAACAATTTACCATATTGTTAAAAATAAACTAGTAAAAACTTTCCGTATACATGTTATGATTATTTTATCGTGAAATAACAATTTCACACAACAAATACTACACGATACAAAGTTTTATGATTTTTATATTATAACAAGTACGTTATGAAACTGTGTAGTATTTCAATGGTTCAAGATATTACTATGCATGTATATTTATATGTTTATATGCATAAAGTTTATACATGTACACATGTTCATTAATTTGAAACATTTATTTTTAGTCTTATATGATATGCATACTATCAGTTTACAGTATTTAAAAGTTTCAAGGACTTCTATACATGAATACTTTTATGCATAAGGCTTTACACACTTATACAAGATCGTTATGTTGAACTACATTTCTCTATAAAAGCGAGTAATTTATACATTTATAAATACGGCAACCATACTCGGCTTTTACGAATGCTATACTACAAGATTCATTATGCCTGGCACTTAATCTTAATTAAGTTAGGGCTGAGAGTTATTCACAAATTTTCATTAATGGTTTTTTAGTGAGACACTACTATTCATTAGTTGAGTTTAATTACTTAGCATGCCCCACACTGCTATAATCGTTAATCTTTGGAGCGAGGTACATATGTATAGATCTATATGGGGTCGACAACCCCACCTGCGGTTGCTAGCTACAACCATCGACTGATCAATCGTAGCAGGTGCTATGTGTCTACGATCGTTACTACGACGTCCAATGAAGCGTCGTAAGGAGGGGTACTTTTCGTCCATAGCTCGATTATAGAACTCACTAAAAACATTAACACGAGTCTCTCTCTCTCTCTCTCTCTCTCTCTCTCTCTCTTACTACAACCATAGGTTTGGTTGCCTTCAAGTACATTTTTAAGTATGGAAATTACTTATACAAAACATTTATTTTGACCTATAAGAAGTCATTACAAGTACATTTTTAAGTATGAAAATTACTTATGCAAAGCATTCATTTTGACTTTTAAGAATTCATTACAAGTACATTTTTAAGTATGGAAATTACTTATACAAAGCATTCATTTTGACTTTTAAGAAGTCATTACAAGTATATTTTTTAAGTATAGAAATTACTTATACAAAACATTCATTTTGACTTTTAAGAAGTCACTACAAGTACATTTTAAGTATGGAAATTACTTATACAAAACATTCATTTTGACTTTCAATAAGTCATTACAAGTACATTTTTAAGTATGTAAGTTACTTATACAAAGCATTCATTTTGACTTTCAATGAGTGATTACAAGTACATGTTAAAAGCATGAATTTACTTATATCAAAATACATTCTTGGCTTTTAAAGACTCTTTGCAAATACTGTTTTTAACTATCGTTATAGTTATACATACAAAGTTAATACTTTTTAAAATTATTAAAACTATTATTTGCGTTAGCAGAAAACCTGTGACACTCACCAACCTTTGTGTTGACTTTCAAAACTACATGTATTCTCAGGAAACTACTAAACAGACATTCAAGACAGATTGGATTACAGGTGACCAAGTTTATTTGTTGTTGTATCATATGCCTACCTGTTAAGGCAATTCATGTATTATTATTATTTGTAAAAACCTTGTATTCAAATATCAAGATGGAACATGAATGCTATTTTGTTTATTGTTGTACTTGTGTTGTATATTCAATTTGCCTGTGATCCATGAACTAAGTCGCATAGCCCGACATATTCCGCCGCCTCAGCCGGGGGTGTAACAGTTTATAAAATGTTTTGAAATAGTTTGTTTGATAACACAGTTTTGAAGTATAAGAAATCCTCTTGTTTGATAGTTATAAATCACATGTGATTGATACTATAACTATAATGTTTTCTACTTGTATCCCCCCATAAAAGCATTTAAAATCATTTAAAAGATAAGTTTAGGGGTATGAACTCACCTGTAGTGAGTTATTCGAATGTAAGATCGATATAGGATGCTAAGTGTCAAGTGAAGTCTCGGGCACAAACGGGTCCTATTAAGCATATAATGACACATATATGTATATAACTAGTGTATATAACAACTAATCATGTTAGGGAACAACCTTAGGGACTAGGAAACACTTGGAATGAAGTGTTACAATCACATATGATTGTACAAAAGGGTGTTCACTGCCACACAAGGATGTGTTCACGGCCAAGGAGTGTTCACGGCCAAGGAATTTATGGCCATACATGAACAAGCTAGGGTTTACGGCCATGACTTGAAGGGTTCACGGCCATGACATGAACTAAGAAAGGTTTACAGCCACGAATTGAAGGGTTCACGACTATGACATGAACTAAGAAGGGTTTACGTCCATATGAAGAGTTTACGGCTGTAAACTCTTGATGTTCTTGCTAAAATGGTTGATTCTTGGATGCTAATCATGTGCTTCTAATGGATAACAAGTATATGGAAAAGATACTTATGATTTAGAAGCTTGAAGGGGTGATTACGGTCCAAAGAACTAGTGTGTGTTCTTGGTGTTCTTGATGATTTGAAGATCTAACCCCAAAAAGAGATGAATTCACGGATGAAATCATAGAGTTTTACTAGATCAAGAAGGATATCAACTAATAAATGAAAGAATCACTTACAAATGTGAAGAGAAATGGAAGTGTTCTTGATGATACTTGAGAGAGAAATGAGTGTTCTTGACTTGAAGATGTGAGAAGTGAAGAAAAATGAAGGAAAATCATACTTAAGGAGTAGAGTTCACGGCTAACAAGAGTTTACGGTCGTAAACTCTAGTTTGTGGCCGTAAACTCCTTGTGATGGAGTTTTCCGGCTTAAATGCTACACAATGAACTCTAGTAGATACTTCCTAACACCCAATCCTTGAATATACTAGGCTTAGAACACTCAAACAGACCCTTAACAAAGCTAAAAGATAGCAGAAACCAGTCTGACTGATGATTGAATTGAATGGCTTTACAAGATAGAAATTTCGGGTTGTCACATGTAAGGTCTGTTTATGTTTATGTTTCTGTATTGACGATGACATCCCAAAGTTTTACTATAAACAAAATACATTTCTTCGGAAATGCTTTGATAATATATTTATCATTTTTTCTGGGAACAAATTCCGCAATATTATTCTTTAAAATGAATACTCTGATTTTCAAATAAGCATAAATAAAATTTTAAAATGACCGTGAATTTGAGGATGTCACATAATATAATAAATTATCGTTCTATATCCTAATATCATTTCTAACTATTTCTGGTTATGAGAGAAACCTAAAAAGGACTTTGCTACCAATTACAAGTATATATAGGGGTGACAATTGTTGACACGACACGATAAAAATACACGGCACGAAACGGAATTGGGACGAAACTGAAATTCGAACTCATGTTCGTGTCGTGTTCGTGTTAAGTTTAAAATACACGATGTCGTGTCGTGTCGTGTTTAAAATTCGACACGAAATTGATACGATTTAGCATTTATTTGTCGTGTTTTCTGTATTATGTATGATTAAATATTGATTAAGTAAACTAATTTTTTTATTATGTTATCTTTGTCGTGTCGTGTCGTGTTTGTCATTTTTTAATCGGTTCGTTTTCGTGTTAGGTAAAAAAAAACACGACATCGTGTCGTGTCGTGTTCGTGTTACATAAAACCTTGTCGTGTCGTGTCATGTCAGACAAAAACACTACACAATAGCCCGATTTGCCACCCCTACAAGTATATATCAATTTAGTTATGAGCTTAGACACCTTAATCCAACATTGGATACAGGGGATTACATTATACAATACCTTGATTGAAGAACACAAGAATATTTGATCACTTAGCTAAAGGTTGTTTCATATGAGTACAACAGCTTCCTTAGAAGCCATACTCCTTGCTATGTTAGAATAATCAGACCATAATGTTTTTGTAAATTGTGCAAGTAGATTGTCGGAAGTATGCCCATGGTTATAACAAGTTGTTGATATTACTATTAATAACAGGTTCCTTTTAGGTTACACACAAAAAAACATCTAAGAATAAAATGACAATAGAGATGATGGGGATCTAGCTTGTTAACTTATTAGTCAATAGTTATTTAATGTGAAGCTTTTACATCTCAAGGTTTTAAAGTGAAAGTATTTGAAATTCAAATACTTAAGGATAATTCCTTAATTATCAAGTAAATATCCACCAACCCTAACTATATATAAGGGAAGACAAAACCAGCCCCTAGTCCCTTTTCGCATCCTTCGTCTCGGTTGTTTAAGTGTCATTCACAAGAAAGAAGAGGGTGTCAAATATTACAGATCTTTTTGTTGGGTGGGACTATAAGCAATTGCAAAAATCGGTCTAGATGACCAATTAATCACAATCGGGTAGGGGCCGAGATACCTAATTAGGAATCAGCCAAAAAATCAGAATCGGTTAAACTCAGTCAAAATCGGTAAAAATTGGAAAAATTCGGAATCGGTCAAAATCAGAAGAAATCGGTAAAAATCAGAAAAAGTCAGAAATTTTTACTTTTTTAGAAAAAATATATAATTGTTATTGATATTCATCTATTTTGTAATAATATTTAGTAAACCTGTTATATTTTTTATATATATTATTTTCCTAAAATTAATTTCATATAATTTATCCAATTCAAGTTCTCCAGCCTAGACCAAATACTTGCTAGGCACTAGTCGGCCGCCCTGAGAACGCTTAATGAGTTTTGTGACTATAAGTGTGTCCCAATAATAATTTAAACAAAAAATGTTATTTATAAAAATATATAATTGGTCCCATATATATATATATATATATATATATATATATATATATATATATATATATATATATATATATATATATATATGAGTAAATTACATGAATGGACACTATGGTTTGGGTAATTTGCATGTTTGGTCCCTAATTTATTTTTTTTAACTCAGAAAGTTTTGTTTGTTTTTGTTACGCGTTTGGTCATTATTATTTGTTTTTGTTACGCGTTTGGTCATTGTCTTATATAAAAAGACTATTATTTAAATCGAAAAAAATGATGGGATAGGTAAGGTAAGGTGATGGTGGTGAGGTTGGGGGTGTGTTTATTTAAATAAATTAAAAAATTAGGTGAAAAATAGTCTTTTTAGATAAGACAAGGACCAAACGCGTAACAAAAACAAAAATTAGAGACCTTCCGAGTTAAGAAAAATAAGTTAAGGATCAAACGTACAAATTAACCTAAACCATAGGGAAATTTAATTTATATATATATATATATATATATATATATATATATATATATATATATATATATATCAATTAGAAAATTTAGATATTTTTATTTTTTCACTTTTTATAATTTTGTTCTATATGATGGCGCCCTTAATTTATGTTCACAGATTATGGATGCTCTAGCAACATCCACAATATTGAGAGTTTTTTTAAAGCAATTTTAGTCATGTTATAGCCATATCACCAACCAACAAAATAAACTTAACAAATCTTCATAATATGAGAATTTTTTTCACATAGTTTTTTTATGGGTCCTTGCAAATTCAATTACATATAAAAAGTGAATAAACTAATATTATTTTTGAAAAATAAAAACTCTACTTATAGAACTTCTTAATTAATATTATCATTGGAAAAACTTTGTTTTAAAAAAATCTTCTACGTAGGCTTTAAAATTTTTAAAGACTTTATCTGAAAATGTTTTTGAAAAAGTTCAAAACCTTAAACACATATTGTATGTGCACTAGATTGCTACGCGTTCCTGCTTCTACCAATGAAACAATATCATGAATATCATCGACACTGGCATATATAAACATAAACTTCAAGCAGATCAACCAAAACAAATGGCGAGCACAATTGCAGAGCTGGTATTCATCCATGCACCTGGGGTTGGTCATGTCATGTCCACCATGGAGATCGCAAAACTACTCGTGAGTCGAGATCACCACCTCTCTATCACCGTTCTTGTAATAAAACCGCTTCCTAATCCAATCTTCGGTTCTGGCTCAGCTATCACCACATACATCAATTCGTTATCTAAAAACGCCATGGATCGCATATCCTTCATTCAACTCCATCAAGACGAAACCCCACCAGTTATGGACTCGAAAGCTCCGGTGGCTTCCACTCAAGCATTTATCAATAGTCATTGTAAATACGTAAGAGACGTCGTGGCCGATATGATAAATAAACCGGTTCAGGTCGGGTCGCAGGGTTCGTCGTTGACATGTTTTGCACGGCGATGATAGATGTTGCTAATGAGTTTAATGTTCCCACCTATGTGTTCTTCACTTCTAATGCTAGTTTTCTTGGATTTATGTTCTATATCCAGACAATCTATGATGATCAGAATGAAGATATTCTTGAACTAAGCAGCAGCTCAGATTCCATGATATCAATTCCGAGTTTTGTCAAACCGGTGCCCACGAAGGTCTTTCCAGCCACGATCCTGAGTAGAGAAGGGCTGGAGATTTTTCTGTTCTGTGCTCGGAAACTTAGAGAGGCGAAAGCCATCATGGTCAATACATTCATGGAACTGGAAACACACGCGATCAAGTCATTAATGGAAGACAGAACCATTCCGCCAGTGTATGCAGTGGGCCCAATACTCAACCTAGAAGGTGCTGCCGGAAACATGTCGGAAAATGATGTCATTAGGTGGTTGGACAGTCAACCTCCTTCTTCCGTGGTGTTCTTGTGTTTCGGGAGTATGAGATGTTTTGAGGAGGTCCAAGTAAAGGAGATAGCACATGCTTTAGAGAGGAGTGGCTACCGTTTTGTTTGGTCCCTCCGTCGACCTCCGACTGATCAAACAACAAGAGCCCCAACTGATTATGAGGATCCAGCAACCATATTGCCGGAAGGATTCCTAGAACGCACTGCCGGAATCGGAAAAGTGACAGGGCGGGTCCCACAGGTAGCTTTGTTGGCTCATCATGCAGTAAGGGGGTTCGTATCTCATTGTGGGTGGAACTCTTTGTTGGAGAGTTTGTGGTTCGGTGTACCGTCGGCGACATGGCCTATCTACGCCGAACAGCAGATTAATGCGTTTGAAATGGTGGTGGAGCTCGGATTGGCGGTGGAGATAAAATTGGATTATAAAAAGGATATGTTTAATCACGAGGTGGATGAGGTGATAGTCATGGCGGAGGAGATAGAAAGAGGAATAAGACGACTGATGGAGGATAACGACGTTAGAACCAAGGTTAAAGAGATGAGCGAGAAGAGCAGAGCGGCCGTGATAAAGGGTGGTTCTTCGTATGCATCTGTTGACTATCTTATTCAAGACTTTGTAAGAAACATCTTCTGAGTTTCACTTTCTTCCTTTATTGTGTTGCTCCACTTTCATTCTACAGTTATGACAAAAACTATTCTTGAACATCTTGATTTTGAAATAATATATATATATATATATATATATATATATATATATATATATATATATATATATATATATATATATATATAGAGAGAGAGAGAGAGAGAGAGAGAGAGAGAGAGAGAGAGAGAGAGAGAGAGAGAGAGAGAGAGAAAGTAGTATGTTCAAATGAGAACATTTCTTATTTTGAGAACAATGGAGAACAATTTTCAGCCATACATTTTTTAGAACAGAATATTCATTATTAGTTTTTTTTAAAAAAATATCCCATCTAGATCAACTACCACCAAATTCACGACATTAATTTATCAAACACCACTTGAAGCATCTTTACCAAGGCTACCGGACCGTCGTCGGCCGTCAGACGCCGGACCACCGCCGGAACAATTTTATCTCCACCATTCCACTGTCGGACCAACTGATTGTTGTCTTTTCATTCCTTTCAGATCTGCAACACCACCTCCTACCGTCAAAATCCATTTTCATCTGCCTCTCATCTTCTAGAACCATCACTAGATCTTGTTACATTGGATCCTGCCATCAGATCTCGTTTCCTCTCTCTCTCTCTCTCTCTCTCTCTCTCGTTCTAACCTTTTACAGCGACAAGAGCAAACTTGTTTATCAAATTTCAACTCAAACGATCCACCATCTGCTTTACGAACATAAACTGAATCACTGATCCTCGTGTAGTGAAGAAAATTCTTAATTCTAATGCAGGGAAATAACAACAACATTCATATAGAAGTATTTCTATTTCTTCAATTAGAAACCTACTTCCTAGATCCAGATATGTAAACCACAAGATGACTTCAAACCCTAAGCTATCTCGATTCACCTAAAAAATCTTCCAATCGAGGTTAATAGACCTCTTCGAGTTTCTGAAAGAGTTGTTAAACGTCTTAAATTGCAAGTAGCAAAAAAGAAATACTTTAGTTCGAAGGAATAATTACCATGGATATAAATTTCTTAGAGGAAGGTGTGAGTGAAATTGTTAAATCTGGAATTTCTATTCCCAGATCTAAGTTGAAATCGATGTAGATGTGACCTTGAATCTTTTTTTGAAGCGTTCAAACATGGAGAAATGGATATGGAAGTGGAAAACGAAAAATATTGTCACAACTGGAAATTTCCAAGTCTAGAAACCAAGCCAAAAGAGTCCCGTACATGTAATAGTTGTATCTATGCTAATATTATATCTTGGTAATGTAATGTTTTTGAGAATTATACTACCCTAAAGCCTCCTAAGTTGATGAAAACAATAAGAAGTTTAAGTTACGTCAAATATAAATCACATAAACAACAAAACACACTTATTAAAGCTTTCTATACATCAAGACCATGAACACTTCCCTAGGAAGCATCCATGGTCATGAACTATCCCTAGAAATCAATGGTTGGCCGTGAACACACCCAAGAACTCACTAAGGCCATAAACCCCCTCAAACGACCACACATTGGCCGTGAACACCAACCTAGGCCACTTTAAGGTTGTGAACAACATAAGGAACCCCCCTTAGACCGTAAACCACCTTAGTGGACCTTCCTTTGACCGTGAACCTTGGTTTAAGGTCCATCTAGACTGTGAACTCCTTCCAAGTTAAGTATGTTCACGGTGGTTATGAGCTGTAATGCGTAGATTTCCAATACACATCTCAGTAATTCATGCATTATCCAACAATAATCAAAGCAAACATCTAATCATTTCCTTATCCCATATTAGAGACCGTGAACCCACTCCCTCAATTCACAACTTCATTTCCACATTCTATAAACTCTCTCAAGGCTTCACCCAAGTTCCAGGAACCATTTTCTTCATCAATCCTTCTAAGTGCTTGTAAGTGTTTCATGCCTAGTAAATGTTTCATACAAGTTAGTTATTTTAAACTCCAACTCACACATAAATTAATGTGTTCATAATCTTATACTAGCTAAAATCCTCAAGAGGTTCATCCCACACTTCAAGTGTTCTAGGCTCTAACTCCCCATCTCATCTTTTCAACTACACTATCTTCTACCCAATGTGAGCTTCATACCCCTCTTTTTGATGTTTTCATGGTTTTGGGGGAGGATACAAGTCAAGGTTTTGTTTAAATCTTGATATATTTGCTTGTTATACATGTATGCCTAGTTATATATGTGCTAAATCTTTGAAAACTCAATATGAAATAGTCCTAGAATTCGAAATTTTGTGCAAGTTTCAAGTATTAGAACCATAATATACAAATGATGTATAGAATCAAAAACTAGTATGTTACAATATATGACTTACAAATTCTTATGACAAAAACTCTAAGGATTTCCTAAAAAATTGCTTAAAACAAATTGTTGGACAAAATATTTGAAAGTGGTTAGAAAATGGAAATAATGATATTTTCGGGGGACCATTTTCGGCCATATAAATATACAAGGACTATTTTGGATTATGAGATAAATTTGGGAAAGCATTGGACATCTCAATTTTTAAAGGACCAAAAATGAAATTTTTGGATAAACAAGAGCCTTTTTGAATATTTCTCAAATATAAGTCTAAAATGAACATTTTAGAAGAAATGGACCATTTTCACACATTTCACCAAGTTTTGAACCACTTATGACACCTTTTGGCAAATATGGGTCTTATTTGATACCTTATAAAAAGAAGGTCCATTTTTGCCAATACCGATAATATTGGGTCATTTTTGATAATTATGATTCCAAGTAGATTATCCTCAATAAACGAAAACGATAGATCTAGTCAACGAGTACAACTAATGTTTACTTTTATTTAATAAATAATGGATATTCACGATTTGCTCAAAAACTTGTTAGTATTCTAGTCAGACGAATCTCCAAAGTACCTATATATATATATATATATATATATATATATATATATATATATATATATATATATATATTAGTGTACGCCTAAAGTCCTGTAAAGAGCTATAACCAGAGTCTCCTGGAGGGAGAGCGGAAATTTATGTATAGATCTATACGGGGTTGACACCCCACACCTTCGTTGTTCGCTACAGCTAGACCGGCCAGTCTAGGGTGACAAATGTCTTTAAACGAACTCGGGTGCCTGAGAAACGCCAAGACAGGTATCTGTCATATTAGTATGGTTATAATGACTCACTTAGAATATAACAGTGAATTGTTTAGAAATAAACATTTGTTACACCTTTCGACTATAATAACGATTGTTTGGATACTTTAAACGAAGCTTTACCACACAAGTATTAGGGTTTTAATACTACTATTTTACACATTCAGAAAATATAGGATTTTCTAGGAAAAACAATTGTATACGATTTCGAAAACGATAAACTAACACACACAAGCAACTATACTTGATTGAAAACGAGACTTACAACTATTTTGATAAGAAAATATTGGATTTTCTGGTTTTCCAACTATCACAGATTTTTATACAAAATGCTTATGAACTCACCAACATCTTTTATGTTGACACTTTTCAAACGGCTTGTATTCTCAGGAAATCAGTAAGCAGGTTTGTGAGCCGCGGATGCTGAATTATTTTGATGTAGTTTGGAACTTACTCACCATTGTTTCTTTTGTGTAATTCAAAAACATAAACATTATGTAAAACAATGTAAGTTTGATATATTGATGTATGATGTTTGGATTTGCTATGTTTCATTTATATTCAATTGTTATGATACTGCACAATGGAGTCACCCGCCTCCAGACGTTTCCGCCGTCTGGTCTGAGGGTGTGACAAATATCGAAAGTAATTAGGGAGTATTCCCAAAGGAGATTGGATTTCCTTAGCTTTATGAGTCTTGAGAAGGAATTATCAAGAATATTTTACGTAGCCTCCAATTCTACAATTAAAGGTAAACTTATTTAAATTTGATTGGAAATATATGATTAAAAAATGAAAAGGTGAACAAGTCAGAAGCTAAAGCTTCTTTTTCTGCTTCTACGATTAATGCTCCAAAAGTTTTTTGCTCATTTAGTTAGATTTCAAAAGGTCATCTTTGAGTGGTGGAATTAAAATTATACCTTTGCAAGATATGCAAAAAAAGTTGAAATGCCTTTTTCTAGTTTATTGATTGGTAGTGGACCAAATTATTCAATTATTCAACTTTATTATGGATTCTTCACCTATAAACCACTTTCATTCCATATTGTTTGTTATTTCTTATGCTATTAACTCATTAACTTTTTCAATAACTCTTTATATGACAACTACTTATTAACACCTAATATATTTTATAAATATTTACATTTAAGTGTGGTGACTTTTTTTAAACAATTTTAATTTTTTAAACATTAAGCCATTTTAATGCATACCAAAATAAAAAACGGGGTAGTAAATCGTATGTGATTAAATTTATAAAATCACATGTGCTTAAATACAATATATATATATATATATATATGATTAAATATATAAAATCACATATGATTAAATACAAAAAAAAATTGAATCGATAAATCATATCTGATTAAGTAATATATAATTATATACATATAATCACATTTGATTAAATCACATGTAATTAGATAATATGTGATTAGATATATAAAATCATATGTGATTAAATACAAATAGTCACATGTGATTAATTATATGATTTAATCATATATGATTAAATAAATATAATCACATTTGATTTAATCGCATATGATACATATATATCTAATCACATATGATTTCTCGTGTAATTAATCACATGTTATTTAATATATTTAGTCATATATGATTATATACATAGAAACAACTACTTCCCACCCACCACCCACCACTTACCACTACCCACTACCAACCACCCAAGATTAATTTTTGCATTCTCGATCAAATAAATTTTTTTCACGTGTTTTAAACCATATATGATTAAATACATGAGAACTACTATCGAATCAGATGTGATTAAAATGGATGGTGGGTAGTGGTAGGTAGTGGGTAGTAGGTTTAATCACAT